CCACTTCATACGGTAGATCTTTAGTTAAGTCGATTTCTACCTCTACGTCCACTGCATTAAATTTGGAATAAAGTTTGTAGCATTTAGGCTCACCTACGGCCCCAGCAATATAACTTATACCATCTCTTGCGATCAGATGAAGAGGGACGTTTGTGAGGTGAACCCAAACCGGGGCTGACTTCAGGGAGGGGGGAGTTTTGGAGTATTCAACAGCCCACTTTCGCACAAAGAAAGCACGATTTTGGACATGCCAAAGTTCTTGTTCCAATACAGCTTCTCGGATTTTAACTGAATGTATACGAACCAGCAAGGAAATGGTGGAGAGCTGGTGAATCTCAAGCTTCATCTCCTTTCCCCAGAGATAGTTGAGAACCGCGTATATCTTAACCATTTTCGGGAGAATCCCGTAAAAGGTGCAGATAACGTAGTCCTGGTGTAACATGATGCCAATATCAACAACGGTCCTGGTGTAACATGATACATATTTTTTTCATTCAATTTTCTATAACACGTCTCTATCACCTCTCTTTCACGTCATCTTTCAATACATATTAATGCCTTCATTTTCATCTTATTAATACCTACACATATCCGAAAAAGTAGAATATATATATATATATATATATATATATATATGCATCTAAAAGTTAGATATATATAATCCTTTAAGATTTTAGAATTCAATTTTTGTTTGGATTGAGCTAAATAAATATCCTATATTCTCAGACCATAATCCTATTTCGGTATATATATGTATGAAATTTGATATAAATATTATTTTCTCTTGTTTTGGTAACATTTTTTTTTTGTAAATGAAGAGTTCACCTGGGTTTTTGGCCCAATCTACATTTCTCCAGACCCGCGATTATCAAATTACGGCCTTTGCAGGTTCGAGCACTAGACGTGGAGTCACTTGGGACAACATTCTAACCATCCGGCCACAAACACTTGGATAAATATAAAGAGAATAAATTTTGGTAACGTTGTTTTTTTTTTTGGTAAAGAGAATAAATTTTATAAGATGGAAGAAACAAAAAGGATAGAGAGATCATTACGTCACGTAAGAGAATTTTGTTTGTCAATCAATTAATTAAAAAAACAAGTAAGACTCAATGCTAATAAAAATGTTACAATTACGTGTGGATATAAAAAAAAATACATTAACTCTTGAAAATTGAAACAATTTCCTACCAAATGACATTAAAAATCGAATATAAAATTGTTTAAAATTCGTTAAGATCCGTTACTTTTTTTGTATAAAATAATTTTAAACAATTTTAATAGAATTATCGACCTAAAGACCGTATATAAAATTCATTTTCGATTTGAAAAATTTATGTATTTTTTGGTATATTTTGTAAAAAAATCGGGTATTTTTATTAGATTTTCTATCATTATCATCGTCGTCGTCATCATTCAAAGGAAATAAAAAGAGATCATGACGATCCCACCACTTATAGGGATATTCCTGCACCTAATGATTGGTGATTATATCAATATATTATTTAAATTTAACAACACTTAACATAGATGTTAATTATAATTTCTTAATCCTATATATATATAGAGAGAGAAGGAAGAATAATTCCAATCGAAATCATTTCATTATGTATTCGCAATTCCTCGTTCCAAAACATTTACCAAATTAAAATTTAAATACGCTAATAATAATAATCTTGAAACCATGCATTAGTCCGTGTTTCCAATCTACAATGCATTCAGTGTATGTGCACACTCCAAACCATCGCATCTCTCAACAAAATATTATTGGCAGACTCGAACCGTTGCTGTAGAGATAAAATAGTGCTTCTCATTTGCTTGGTCCACCCGAGTGGCTATAGCACGTTCGGAGTGAGCGGTGCGTTGCCGAATATTCGATTGTTCCATTCCTTCCGAACCTCGTATACCATCTGTCCATCATTCTTCGGGGTCTGGTACGCCTTCTATCCATGATAGACCGTCAGGGGGGTTGTGCCATAGTCTTCGTGCCAGTCTCATCCAGACCTCCGAGTTGTAGGAGCACCTGAAGAATAGATGACCGTGCGATTCACCCTCATGCGCGTCGCCGCAATCGGTCCCTCCCGTTGGCAACCGTTCCTGCATGACCAACCAGTGCCCAGTTTCCCTCTCTAGTGACGTCTCTAACTCGAGCGTTTCTCCAAGTAGCTTTGGGCTTTTTTAGTATCTGGGCTCAAATAGAGGTCCAAGCCCATTCAAGTCAAAATTGTCTTTTGGTAGCTGTACAAATACGACGAACGAGAACAAAATTGAATATTGTTCATCGACACGAATCGCTCGTCATGCTTCCAAGTCCTTGTATATGTTATATTTATTTCTTTTTGTATTTAAGAAAAATAGAAAAATCGGCGAAAAAATCACGAAATTCATAAAAACTTCGACAGATTTTTATGAATTTTAAAAATCTCTCATATTCCCACTGTTACGCTTCCGTCAATCGAACAATGTCTGACGTGGCATTTGTTGCTTTGGCCATTATGACATGGCAGTATCATGCATTTTAAAAATTGCCACGTCGGCTACATTTTAAATCTTCAACCGATCGATTTTGAAATTCGGTTTTGCGATTAAACCGGACCGGCCGAGTTTCAAATTTCAATACAAAAAATCCGCTCAAAAGTCGAAGAGGCAAGATCTGCAGACGAAAATTGCGGGAGGAGAAGAATAAATCTATAGGTTTTCGATTCTCCACCGTTAGATTTTAGTTTTTGGTTTTTCATTTTTCGATTTTGAATGGAGATGACTTTTATTTTGGGTTTTTGGTTTTAGTTTTTGGATTTTGGTTTTTAGTTTTTGGTTTTTGGCTTTTGGATTTTATAATATTTGAAAACTTAATAAAATGCCTTGAATGGTGGGAGTTTTTAGAGTTTTTAGAATCCAAAAACAAAAAAAAATAACATTCAAGTTTTTACAAAATTACTTTTCCTAAAGACTTGGAAAACTATTTTAGTGAAAAAATCAATGAAAAACCAAAAGCTATTTTTTTTGAGTTTTCAAATATTATAAAATCCAAAAGTCAAAAACCAAAAACTAAAAACTAAAAACCAAAAACTAAAACCAAAAACTCAAAATAAAAGTCACTACCATTCAAAGCCAAAGTGGCTTTTGGTTTTTCATTGATTTTTTCACTAAAATGGTTTTCCAAGTTTTTAGGAAAAGTAATTTTGTAAAAACTTGAATGTTATTTTTTTTGGTTTTTGGATTCTAAAAACTCCAAAAACTTCTACCATTCAAGCCCTTAGATTTTGTATTTTGGTTTTTGGTTTTAAAAATCCAAAAAAAAGAAGTTTTTTTTAAGTTTTTATTTGATTTTTTAACAAAGTTGATTTTCTAAATTTTTAGAAATGAGGGGTTTTCTTGAAAAGGACTGATTTAGGGTTTCCATCTCATTATGAGGAGGTTCTGCTCCCGGAGGGAATTCCTCCGTCGTCTCCGGTGGAAGCGGTGCCAATGATTTCATTCTCTGTCGGCGAGCCATTTACGTGTGGCAATGAGCCACTTGAGCGCTATGCCAAATAGCCTCTCATCCGTCGTCGTCGTCGTCGTCGTCGTTTTAGTATCTTTTGGCTTTTTCTCTTGAATCGTTTCTGCTTCTTCTTCTTCTTCTCGGGGAGGCTGTGATGATGATTTCAGACTCAGTGGACCAGACATTGATGAGAAACTCCTGTTTCTTGGCGGGGCTACAAATGGACATGGAGGAACAACGAAAACTCCTGTTTTTTGTAAGCAGCCATGTCGGTGTGTTTCCTCTTTCAGTTGTCTGAGAAAAGGCGAATCTGAGCCTCCCCCATTATTTATCATTCTCTTTCATTTTGTCTCCAACCAACGATGATTGGTTCGGGTACTTGCATGTGGCTTGAAGTTGCAGGAAAATGGGGACTCTAACCTTTTCGAATCATCGAAACGAGCGAAAAACACGAAAAGAGAAGGTTTTACGTATGAAATTTGTTTTGGGTTTCGATGCTCATTGCTTCATTCAACTACATGTTAAATTCATAACAGAGGATGCTGGAAATGCTCATTGTTTTTCCGCATTTCAGGGCTTATATTACATGTTTGTGCCAGGAAACGTATGGTAAATGCTCGGTATTCAAGTGTAGGCTCTTTGGTTTCTGTATTTACAGCAGGACACTCCCTCTGGTTATTGTATGGGCTGTACTTGTTCGAGATGACAATGTCTGTTGTTTGTTAGTTTTTGCTTTAGAAACAGGAGCAGGTTTCCGTGTCTTGAATGTTTTCTGATACAGCTTAGCAATGATCCGAAGAAGGGAGCGTTTTCAAATACGGAGTCAAGCCTCTTCCCCATTGGATCACAGCCGGACAAGAGAAGATCTTCCATATAAAGCACTAGACTTTGGCTCTGCATCAGCTACATTATGCTGAGAATAGAGCCGGTGTGTCGAAGAGATTCGTCGGAAATATCATCTTCTCCAATAGAATGCAGGCTACGGAGATCTCTATCGATCTAAAGCACAGATTGTGTGTGACCCTTTTCGAGATTGAATGCAAGATACTGTTTTCAGCGTGCAGAAGGACATGTCGAGCTGCATCGTTGCTTGTGTCAAAGCGAGGTACATTCTCGTCACGTTCGCACAATACATGGATTGGTTTAAAGAAACCACCATTTTTGTCTGAAAACGAGCTCATCTGAGGGCAAGCTCCAGTCCAGTCTCCAGAGTGGCAGAGAGAGCAGAGGAGGCAAGAAGTTGGGATTATAGAGAAGTGGATCAACGAGTGTTACTCTGATTTCAGACAAGAACTTGAGTAGAGAGTAGCTAAGGTTGTCTCGGTCTCAGCTTCACTGTCATTATTACAACATCTATTGTGGACATTGTTGGTTTGTACGTCCCTTTTGTAATAAATCCAACTAGTTAGTTGGTTCTTGTTGGTTACCTTAATTGTTTTTCAGCAAATCAAACGAGTTAACCGTGGAGTGAGCCCACATTTATTGTAACGAGGCCCAGAGGTATAGTAATGAGACACCTGGTGAGTGAGAAAACCATATCGTAAGAGAGAATTTATTCACTCAAGCCTCAGACAGTTTTCTTCTCTTGATTATGTCGGCGGCCATGGCGGAGGAGCAGCGGTGGTGCATGGTGACAGGCGGTAGAGGATTTGTGGCGAGGCATCTGGTGGAGATGCTCTTACGCCTCGAGAAGTTCCACATCCAGATCGTCGATTTGGCTCCGGAGATTAAGCTCCAGCCTCGGGAGGAGGCAGGAGTTGTCGGTGAAGCCATGAGATCCGGTCGGATTCAGTATGTCTCGGCCGATCTCCGCGACAGAACTCAAGTGTTCCAAGGTCCCTTTAACTAAGCTCAGCTCGGTTTCTTTCTTTCTTCTTTTTCTCAGAAATGATGATGATGACACTGTCATTGATGGTTCTTGAAAATAGCTTGTGAGGGAGCAGAAGTTGTGTTTCACATGGCAGCTCCGGATCCATTGATCAACAGCTACCAGCTTCACTACTCTGTTAACGTTCAAGGTGATATTATTCCCATAATATAATAAACACTTGTAAAGGTTTATCATAATCCCAAGAATTTCGTGTTTATTCAAACTTAACACTATGTGATTCGCCTTGGGGTTAAGGCGATGTTGTTGTTGTTGTTGTTATTTTTCCCGATTCATATGAGAGCAGGGACAAAGAACGTAATCGACGCTTGCATTGAGCTGGGGGTCAAGAGGCTTATCTATACGAGCACTTCGGGCGTTGTGTTCGATGGAGTCCATTCGGTTTTGAATGCCAACGAATCGATGCCTTATCCATCCAAGGTATTTTAGTCTCGTTTTTTACGGTGTTTTACCCTCTCGATCTTCGGAATGTGTCAATCTCTCACGTTTTTCTTTAATCATTTTAGCACAGTGATTCATACACGGAGACAAAATCCGAAGCAGAGGCATTGGTCTTGAGCTCGAACGGGTGTAATGGACTGCTCACGTGCTGCTTACGTCCTAGCGCAATTTTCGGTCCCGGTGATGGAGGGATTTCATCTCTCGTTTCTGCCGCCAAAGGTGGAACATTCAAGGTATTCCTCGCCTACTCCATCGGCTACTTGTCACCTCTGGATCTATCGAAGGGTTTCCCCAAACTTATTGACGGGGATCCGTTCCCACACTTACGGGTCCCGGGGATCCTGAACGATATTCGAGTTCAATCTCCTTCTTTGATAAACTTTTCTGATACTTTTATTCATGATGCAAAACTCTCCTTTTACAAAAAAAAAAAAAAAAACCGATGTGGTGTTGAGACAACATGTTTCACGGTGATTGTATGGAATGCTCGTTCTTCTCTACGGATTGTACGGTCATTGTCCGATTCTTTGATGCACAGTTCATTATAGGCGACGGGAACAATCTTTTCGACTGGACTTACACTGAAAACATCGCACATGCCCATATCTGTGCTGAACGAGCTCTTGCATCAGGAGGAGACATTTCCGAGAAAGCTTCAGGCCAGGTATTTGGTTTCTCGGTTCGTATAGTTGCCTTTGTATACACCGCGTTTTTACGAGCCTCTACATACATGTATCGCATGCTATGCCTTTTTCTGATTAGAATCTCGGTGTTTGAAGGGTTACCACAACAAAGAACATGATCACTTAGAGTCTATTGAAGAAGATTTACCCGTTTTTCATTTTGACTTTTAACGTAAATTATATACGGTGTTACAAAATGTTCGATCTTGTGGTTATTCAGGCATATTTCATTACCAATATGGAACCGACTAAATTTTGGGATTTTGTTTCGGAGATTATCGAAGGGCTTGGCTATGAGAGGTAGTCGTCTTTTCCCATTTTTGCTTGGATTTAATATGCAACGGGTTTGAGGAGGAAAAGTTTCCGGGATTTGTAATAGATTTAGAAAACCGCTTCGCCATTTTTCTTAAAAGAAAAGGATTTCGTGTTTTTTGCAGGCCGAGTATAAAGATCCCTGTTTTTGTTGTCATGCCTATTGCCTATCTGGTGGAACTGATATACAAATTGTTTGGTCCGAACGCGCTGAAATTACCGCATCTAACGCCCTGGAGAGTTCGGTTCATCTCTCTAAGCACAACGTTCGATTGCTCGAAAGCAAAGGAGAGGCTTGGTTATACGCCTATCGTGCCACTTCAGGTTATATAATCTTCTTCCGTTGGAGACAGACCCATATACTTTTTGTTTTTCGTATTTTTGTTTTCCCGTTTTGCCGTGTTTTTTTAAATAACAATCCTGCAGGAAGGTATTCGGAGGACGGTAGACTTCTTTTTACACTTGAAATCTGAAAACCAACCCGATCGAGAGGATCCTTTTTCAACGAACTCACAATGGAGCTTGTTTCTCAAGGTGTTTTCCCCTTGAATCTTGTTGTTTCTCGCAAATTTCGGGTCCTTTGATCTCCCCGACACCCTGGTCTTATGTTTTTTTTTCTAATGGAATAGGCGGCATTCGTTTTGATCGTTTCGGGTTTTTTTGGAGCTCTATCAGTTCGGAGTTTACTCGCTATAGGTAAACTCACTTATCAGTTATCTCTTCTTCTCTAGACATGTGAAGTTTGCATGGATCACAAAGATATTGTCTTTGCATCTTTCTTTTAGGTTATCGAACCGAGATCAGAAAGACGTAAAACAAAACTCGGGTTTTAAAAGGGTTATGAAATATCTCGAGAAAACGGCTTTTCTTTTTCGGAAATGTGTCGAGTTTTCACATTATTTTTTTGCCCTTCGATAACGCTGGTTTACGGATTGCATCTTCTCGTTTCGTTCACAGGAATTCCCGTTGCCTTCGTCGTGTCCCTCATGTATGCGAAGAAGGGGCGCGAGTTTGCATCCGCGTTTTCGCGTCTTTGCGGAGAGAAATCCGACTGAGGAAAACGCATAAAGACAGCTTCTCCTGTGAGTAGTGTGGATTGAAGTTTTAATGTACGTGGTATTTGTTTGATGTCCGGAGACAGGTTTTGACTCAGAATTGAGACAAGGCGACAAAAAGAGCAAAAGAGTATCGATGGTTTCTTAGATTCATTCTCTTCATTACACTTTCACTTCTATCCAAACTTGGTCACATGAGTTTTACCTCAAAAACATATTTAAATAGTTCCTCGTTTCATTCCCGATTTAATATAACTGAATCCGATCGGAGGCAGGTTAATAAAGGTGTGGCGGTATCCGATCCTAAATCCGAATGATTTGGGTTATAGGGTTCGTAATTTGATCTTAAATATGTGGTTTTAAGGTATTCGGATTTCGGGTGTCTATATGTTTTCCAAATGTTTGGAACCCGAGGGCAAGGTGAGGCCTTCATCGATCTGAATCCCCGAGTTGAGGGCAAAGGCGATGAAGGGAGCGATGATGTGTTGGAAAAGGCGGTCTGCTATTTGCTCCTAAACCCAAATGACTCGGGTTTTAGGGTTCGTAATCTGATTTTTGACTCTTTGATAATTCCCGGGTATTCCAAGGGTTTGGGAGTATCTGTAACAGTAATAAGACCCATCCGAGGGTGAGGTGGAGCCATCACAACTTTGAATCCGAACTCTATGTCTTATATAACCACTTGCAAGCCCCGATCTTGTGTTGCTGCCGTCCGAACACCCAAAATTTAAATATATTTTTTTTGCTGCCGTTAGTTATGGGGTTCAAATTCAATTTATAAAAGTATGTGTATTTTTATGAGTTTAAGACAAATGCGAGGGCCTTATAAACAATTTCCCTAGAGTTTATCTTCGCCTCTTCATTTCATCATCCCGAGCCGGCGACTGGATTTTCTTGTCGTCGTCCAAAATTTTTCGGCGGATTTTCGCCAGGAAGCTATCTCCGACAAGCCTTCTCCTTCTTCTCCCTCACGACGCACCGATATCCGACGGCTGAAATCGGACGGTGGATTATCACCGAAACCTGGCCGTTGGATGAATTTGGCGGGCTTTTTCAAATTCGAAGATGCAAGAGAATCATGACTAGTTTAGCATATACGAGGCAACTGCAATTATTATCCATGTTCACGTTCTTTCCATGTGATTAATTAACTTTTAATCATAAACACGATTATGTTTTACGTGATTATCATCTAAAGCAGCGAGCAGTTACGTATCCCCAATTTTTTTGTGCAATGGAATCTGTGCAAATTGGCTTTATTAGTATCGATCGTTGAGTTCTGCATTCATTCTAATTTGGCTCTTTGATTTCCCATTTTTTTACGGCCGGTGATTTGATTATGGCAGCGGTCGCGGAGGAGCGGTGGTGCATGGTGACCGGCGGCAGGGGATTTGCGGCGAGGCATCTCGTGGAGATGCTATTACGCCGCGAGATGTTCCATGTGCGAATCGCAGATTTGGCACCGGCTATGGAGCTCGAGCCTCGGGAGGAGATCGGAGTTGTCGGAGAAGCCATGAGGTCCAGTCGGGTTCAGTACATCTCCGCTGATCTTCGTGACAAAGCTCAAGTGTTCAGAGGTTGTCTGAACTAAAACACCTTCCTTCTCTTTCGTCCTTGTTTGCGTAAATGATTCGATTCGTATGATCGTTTTGTTCTTGAAACGCAGCTTGTAAGGGAGCTGAAGTCGTGTTTCACATGGCGGCTCCAGATTCATCGATCAACGATTACCAGCTTCAGTACTCTATTAATGTGCAAGGTCAGATTTCCGAATTTTTTGTTCTTTCTCTCCGAACCTCTCTGGTTTTTCAGATTCATCTGAGAGTCTTATGCGCAGGGACGAAGAACGTCATTGAAGCTTGCACCAAGCTCGGAGTGAAGAGACTGATCTATACGAGCTCTCCTGTCGCTGTGTTCGATGGCATCCATTCCATTTTGAATGGCGACGAGTCACTGCCATATCCATCTAAGGTATTAGGCTTCGATTTGTTGTTTTGTTCCTATCAAAGGGGCAGAGAGATTCAGTTAGTGTATTTACGTTCTACGTTTCTTACAGCACAATGACTCGTATTCGGCGACCAAAGCTGAAGGAGAGGCTTTGGTCTTGAAGTCGAATGGCAGTAACGGATTACTCACCTGCTGTATACGTCCTAGCGCCATTTTCGGTCCTGGTGATAGATTAATGGTTCCATCGCTCGTTTCCCTGGCCAGAACGGTCACGTCCAAGGTTAGATGCAGTTTTCAGACAGATGCTTCTGCACAGTAGGAGTTCCATTGCTGTCTGATACATACATTGCAGAGGAACCCTTTTTTTCTGTTTCTATGACTAAGATTTATGTTCATTCGTGTTTCTTGATTGAAAAACGTCATGCTTCTTTAATATGTCCAGTTCATTATAGGCGACTGGAACAATCTGTACGATTTCACTTACGTTGAAAACGTTGCACACGCCCTTTTTTGTGCTGAACGAGCTCTAGCTTCAGGAGGAGAAGTTTCTGAAAAGGCTTCAGGCCAGGTATTTTTGGCTGCAGTCGAGATTTCATATCGCAATTACGTAAGGATATGCGGTTTTTTTCGTCTTCTTAGATCTCGGTGAACAGGCATACTTCATTACAAACATGGAGCCGATTAAGTTTTGGGAGTTCATGTCTCGGATTCTCGAAGGACTTGGCTATGACAGGTACCGTCCTTTCGCCTACTTTGTTTGCATTATACTCAACCTGGAGTGCGTTTCTCAGCGTATGTCTCTGTTTACAAGGGAAAATCGTTGTGTTCTTACAGGCCGAGAATAAAGATCCTGGGGTTTGTCATGATGCCGATTGCGCATCTGTTGGAACTGACATATGTAATGTTCAGACAATATGGTATGAAAGCACCGCAACTAACGCCTTCAAGAGTTCGCCTCGTCTCTCTAAACAACACGTTCGATTGCTCCAAGGCGAAGGATAGGCTTGGCTATACGCCCATTGTACCACTTGAGGTTTATATAATCTTCCCCCATACGAGACGTACCATCGGATCACTAGTTGTTTCCGAACTTCTGTTTTCACCGTATTCTTTTTTTTTTCGGAAAACGACACTGCAGGAAGGTATTCGGAGAACGATAGACGCATTCTCACACTTGAAAGCTGAGAAGAATCAACTTCCATTGACAGTGACCTCACCATTGAACATTTTTTTCCAGGTATGTATGTTTATATGTACATCTTGTTTCTTCTGAACCCGAAGGGTCGAAACCCGAAACTGCAGCGAGGCGGAGGCATGGCCATTGTTCCAATGCTTCAACTTGTGCGTCTAATGAAACAGGTGTTGTCACTTATGTTGGTATTGAGTTTGGTCGGAGCCGTATCACTTGAGAGGCTATTCATCACAGGTACTCCCCCTCTCCATCTCTACAGAGATTTGATCGATCTTTGGACCGAAACCATAACATTAGATTATATAACTGAAAAAAAAACATTATTGGTAAATGTCGTGAAAGGGCTTCTAGTGGCATTCATGGCGGTTGTCGGCTACGTTAAAGAGGAGAAAAGAGAGTGATTCAATTCATGAGGGAGCCGAAATCGGAGAGAGACGACTATGAAGGATAACCTTTTCTCCAGCTTTCCGTTGGCTTTTTAAAAAAAAAAATTATGCAACAATGTCCTCAATTAGTGTGTTTGGATTGAAACTCCATATGTGTATAAGCACATGTATATGTGTAAACGTATAAGAATGTATATGTACGTAAATATATGTATGCGTGTATAATTTATTATATGTATGTTTATGTCTATATAAGTTTAATATAATATGTGTTTCTTTTAATATTTTGTTTGGGAAAATCCAACAAATATCTAAACTTTTACATTTTTCCAAAAAAAATCTGAATTCTATTTTTTTACCAAATAAAACATGAATTTTATAAATATTGTTTTGTAAACTCAACTGATGATGAGGTAGTATCTCGATATCATATATATCAATTTGTGATTTAACTGAAGATGATAATGTGAACGGTTCAATTAAAATTATAAATTGATATGTGAGTAGTTGAATTTAAAAATAATAAATTTTATAAAATTTAGATTTTTTTAATACAAAGAATGAGTTCGGGTTATCTTTAAAAAAATAAAATTTAGATTTTTTTAAAAAAATTGAAATTTTTGTTTTGTGATTTTGCCTTTTGTTTATTGTATGGTAATTGTTTTTGAAGTGACAATTTTTTAACGGATAATATAGCAAAAATACCCTTACTTTGCTACAAAGACTTCAAGCGTTACTTTTTAAAACTTTAGATTAAAAAAAACAAAATGAATAAAAGACATAATTACGTGACATGCTTAGTTCTTTCACAAGACTAATCCGTGTGTCACTTAGTCACTTGGGCGATTTCGGGACTAAGTAAACCTAGATTTTGTCTGCGCAGCGGAAAAGGAAAGCGATCGTATACAACGGAAGCTTTATTGATCGGAAAATTTTACAAGGTTGGGTGTTCGTGTGTGTACAAGGCGGAGATTGGTTCATCCGAATGAGGGGATGACCTATTTATAGGGTTCAAAGTCGGTTATGCAGTAGAAACGGACGGTTCAGATTAAGCCGGATGGGCGGTCAAGATTGCGCCACGTGTCCCATCCAGATATTTCCTAAGGTCGGCGCCTTTATGTCGGTGGTCCGGAATTCTCTCGAACTCTCTCGGCCACTCTCGTCCGAACTCTTGCGGACGGTCTGGCGGAGTCTCCCGAAGTTTTTGGAACTCTTCCGCACGCTCTCGATCATTCCCGGGCCTGGCCACTGTACGCGTGTCTGGAAGCTTCCGGAACGGTCTGGACAACTCTGGACGGATCCGGACAAGGCTTAGACGGTCCTCCCATACTTTGACCCGCATTTTCTCGGCACGCTCAGTGTCGGACGATCACGGACGAGCTTCCCCTCGATCTCGAATGACTGCGGATGCGGACTCTCAGACGGTTACGGTACGGAAATGCGTATGCGAATTTTCGTACCGTAACAATTATCCCTTTTACAAGTAACATGACAGAATACAAATCAATATTAAAATATTTTTCACTCTCCCCCACTAATTTAGTCATTTTGAATTATTCTCTCTTTTTTAGAATTTTTTAACTCCTTGTCTCATTCTTAACTCTTCATTTTCTCAACTCTTCTCTCTTTCTCAATTCTTCATTTTTTTCAACTCTCATCTCATTTCTATACACAGAAAAACAATAGAAATAGTTTTTCCATTGAACTTCGTCGATGACTTCATATTTCCTTCGCGATTCGGCCGAAGACAAAACAAATAACAAGAATGGAAGGTAAGTTTATTAATAAATGAGATTTGTTCGATGCATGAACTTTCTGTTTTTTTTTTGTTTGAGTTTTATGAATTTAAAGTGAATCGTATGGTATTTGATGAAAATAAGATATTTTGCAGAGCAAAATTGTCCAAAAATGTGCAAAAATGCATCTCTAATCCCAAATGGATTTTCGGAGTGATAAGATAACATATTGTCAATGAAACAAAGGTACGTCACACTGGTCATACCATTCAAAATTTATTCTGATCACATAGATCACACTAGTCACACTGGTCACACCGTTCAAAATTTATTCTGATCATAGTGGTCACACCGTTCAAAATTTATTATGGTCACACAAATCACACTAGTCATAAGGTCACACTAGTCACACCGTTCAAATTTTTAATTCTGATCACATTGGTCATATTGATCACACGTGTCGCACTGATCACATAGGTCACATAACTTAATATTAACATCTAATCACACGATCATATTTGTCATATTGGTCACACTAGACATATCGAAATTTTTTAAAATGCCCAGCAAAAAATTTAATTTTTTATAATGGGAAAAATTTTAAAATATTAAAATATTTTAATTTTTTCGTAGAAAACCGAAAACTATTCTTTACTCTCTCTCCATTAAATTTTCTGCGCTAACGTAGGTGGATATTATGGAAAAAATACAATTATAAAGATAGTATTTGAAGATGTTATCTTTTATGTTTTTCCAGGGGCATGCACTACAGTCGATGTCGATGTAGCAAAATAAAGACATTTTTGAAGTTAATCCGTCGTATTGATGTTAATTTGTCGTTTTGTTATGTCAAGGCCAATTCCTATTAACGGAGGTAACGATTTACTTGGATTGACGGGAACGGCGTTAAACGCTGTGTAAATAAACAATTGAAAACCGTTAACTTGGGCCTAAAGTCGTACTTCTAAGGAATGGGCCTGGGATGGACTCTATTGCTTAGTCCGTAAAAGCCTGATGGTTTCGTGGGTTGATCCGTTCCGTACCATCTGCCGCGTTTTCACAATGCATAGTTTTTTTTACTAATTCTTTTTTTTTGGTAAAACTTTTTACTAATTATTCATGTCTCTCACATTTTAATTTTATTTTATAAAATATTATTGAGTATTAATAATTAAATTTACTTGCATATTACTTTTAGGGATACAAAGAAAAAAGTAGAACAAATGTGGATTTGATTTACACGCATTAGAGGTTTAATATGTATAACGGAAAGCAAATGAAAGTAGAGTACCATTTCCAAATTATTACGGAAATCAAAGGGTAAAACTTGCAAATAGAGAAAAGACCAAACCATAACAAACGACGTCGTTTATCTGTCCTTTTTCATCCCCCTTTTCCGCGTATGGCCCCTTCTGATTCGGAATCATACTTGCATCTTCTCCGACACTTTGCAGTTTCATGCTTCTTCTCCATTTCCGTTATCCGCCATTGCTATTTCGCTTGATCGATCGATTGAACTATTCGATATAAAAGCTTCCTTCACCTCATCGATGGCGCGGCGGTCGGGAGACTGCATGAGATGGTGTCTGGTGGTCTTCGCGGTGGTCTCGGCTTTAGCTGTGTGTGGTCCTGCTCTTTATTGGAAATTCAATAAGGGTTTCTCTGGATCCCCCCGTAGAAGCTCTGTTTGTCCTCCATGTGTCTGCAATTGTCCTCCTCCTTTGTCTCTCCTCCAGATTGCTCCCGGTACGATTCCCATCTTGTCTCTGTCTCTGGTTTTATCTAGGTTTTTTTTTGTTACTGGGTCGTTGAATACATGTTCGATTAAAGTTTTTATTGCACAATTAAGTTCGATTTTGGAGTAGGGATCGGAATTCTAGGTGCCCTTTTCTCCAGATTGATATGTATGGACCTTAGATTTTCCTGAAATTTTGGATCTTTCTCCAAAGCGTCTAATGTTTCTGCTCTAAGTGGTGGATCTTTGTTCTAAGCTTGATCTTTTGTTGTCTGTGAACTTGGATTACCTTTTGCCTTCAGTGACTGACTGTAAACTTGACGCTAATAAGTTGCTTTTTCTTGCTTTTGTGTTCCCTTGCAGGGCTTGCAAATCTCTCTGTTTCAGGTTAGATCTCATCTCAGCTTGACTTTGTTTAAGGATCTTTGTTGATACTCCTCCATTTGAAGTTCTCTGGCCTCTTAAAATTGTGGTTGGTGTTCTTAGTTATTTCGGCGTGATACACTCGGGGTTAGTGATGAGCCTTTTGATTCTGGTGTGTTAAGTTAAATGGAAGATTGGCTCTGTGCATCTGAGATGGTCTTATTGCTTTTGCTGACTTATTCAGTGACCCTCCTGAGTCTTTTTTTGGGGTTGATTGATGTTTTCGAGTCTCTAATCCTATCGGAACTATATGAAAAACCCGAAACTTGAAGCAGAACAAACGGCCCTTTCTGTCCCTAGATAAACATGATGCAGAACCATCTTTCTGTTGTATAACCCTGTCTGATCTTCTCAATTAGAGGCGTCCTTTCCGAATCATATCATTATGCATGTGGGTAACATATATTTGTTTATTTAGTGTTATCATGTCAAGATGTATTTCCTCCTCTTGTGAGACAATAACGTTGATACCGACTTAAATTGTGATAGACTGTGGAAGTGATGATCCGGATCTCAAGCAGGAGATGGAGAAACAGTTTGTGGACCTTCTGACAGAAGAGCTGAAGCTGCAAGAATCGGTAGCTGATGAGCATAGCCGCCATATGAATGTCACACTTGCGGAAGCCAGAAGGGTGGCTTCTCAATACCAAAAGGAGGCCGAGAAGTGCAATACTGCGACAGAAACATGTGAAACAGCGAGGGAGAGAGCTGAAATATCATTACGCAAAGAGAAGAAGATCACTTCTATGTGGGAGCAGAGAGCTAGGCAATTGGGTTGGGAAGGTGAATAACAATATTACATGGTTAACACACTTCTTGGTCTGTCATGAAGAGCTTTTCATTGGAAAAACCAAAATCTCTCTCTAGCATTTACTCGCGCAAGCACGGGAATTGCTTCATTTTCAAGGCAAAGTCCTCTCCTCTCTCCCACTTCACATATGTAGTTTTGTTTTGCCCTTGGTTTGGAGATGTAGTTATAATGGTTTGGCTTTGTATTTGACTATATTTTGTCACAGTTATCACCAGTTATACTTGCTTCCTCCCTCATTGAACGAGATGGTTGCCAATTTCTCTTCTTTATAGTCTCCTGGCCATCGTTTAACGCCGCCCATCATATTCCTGTGATTATGTAATGAATGATCCACCATGATCATTGTTGAAGTGAACACAGCTTGATGCCTCGGATCATGGTGCAGTAAAAGCTTCAAGAACACCCAAAGCTCGGTTTTTTCTTATGTTTACATGCCATTTCTACATCTAATATGAATCCAAGAGGATCTGATTGCGGCAGTTATTTGATGTAAGCTATACAAAGCTCTGTCTAAGCATGTGTGGGAGCAGACAGCAGAGTCATGTGGACTCTGTCTTGTTACTTGTAAAGGCTTGCGAAGACTTGGGAGAGGAGCGAGAATATTTGATAGAGAGAGGGACAGAGAATTGAAGAAGAGACAAAAACTTGGGGTAAGTCAAAAGACAGGGGTTGACTAATGCAGCAAGCATATGGTAAGCATCTGATATCACGCGGTTTTGGATTTTCAATGTTCATGCATGAACACACACAGCTGTGCTCTTTGTCTTGCATTATAAAGCCCTGATAATGTCACCTATTAAAATACTCTTTGTTTGCAATATTCTATTGCTCCTTGGGACAGGATTCGTAGGAGTTTTTTATTGTAAGTTTCAGATCTACAATTAAAGAATAGATCTTGGTTCAGGTTCTTCTGCAGATCCATGTGGGTTGTGTAAAAGTTGCAGACTTTTTTAATGGGATTCGTCCAGAAACGGCATTTGAGGCTTTGGTTCTAATAATCTGAGCTTTTGTGCTTTTCTGTGTTCAACTTCTTCTCTGAAGCTTCCTGGGTGGGCTTGTTGTGCGGTTTTGTAATATTGGAAGTGTAATAAATTCGAATCTCTGGTCGCATAGATCGAAAAATTTCCTTTAAATGGAAAGTTCCATGAACAAGAGAGGCTATGGATGCGGTCAAGAGGATACAGACAACTTACCAGAATCAAAGAGACAGAAATTGCCAGCTTTGGCAAGGTAACTTCTTCTTTCATAAGTTCCTTCGAGGATATATAGATTCTGTATTGTCTTCGTTGCAGTCTCTTGGCTCTGTCAGAATCAATCTTTTTCATCTGCTACTTCACGAACTGAAGTCTGAAGATAGAAGCATCTCATCAGTTTGGATACATTACAGTCTCTTGTCTTTGGGTTATTGTAACATTCAAACCCAGTTTTATAGTACAGAACAGAGTTGTAAATTCACTTTCTCAGTGGAAACGAATCCTAAGCACAGTTGTCATGGACTTTGATTCTGAACTTCGTTGGAGCAGAGACTTTTTCTTGTCGACCCGTTCGGTAGTGGAGAGCCAGAAAAGCTTATATTGTTCAAGTTTTGGTTTTTCGATATTCTTGATTACCCTTTTGAGTTTGTTAAATTTGCTCAAACGTTGTATGAAACTCCTGTATACAGTGTCATTGTGGAAGCTGTCAAGGTAGATAGTCTTCAGAGGCTATGCTCATCTTTGGAGCCATTGTTTCGAAGAATTGTGAGTTGGTAGTCTGTTTTTGCTCCATCGTCGATAAATAATAGTATTCCTGGTTAGATCAATGCTTGAGTTACTGGCTGAGTTGTATCTTTGTGGTGTGGATGAACAAACAGGTCAGCGAAGAAGTGGAACGGGCCTTATCAAGGTTGGGGAGTGCGAAATTAACCTCGAGGTATCTTTCTGGTTATACCCTTTAGCTTGAATTGGCTCCATGATGTGTAAGTGTTCTTTGAGTTCTCGGGTTTAACGATGAGTTCTCAGGTCTCCAGAACCGAAGAAGATTCAAGGCCCAGATGGAAGAAATCTGCGGCTTTTATTCAGGACCCGGATGCCTCCTCACTTGTTCACGGGTGGGAAAGTCGAGGGAGAACAAGGCTCGGCCATTCACGTTGTTCTGATAGATGCAAACACGGGAAACGTGGTACAAACAGGGGAAGAATCATCGGCTAGGCTGAATGTTGTCGTGCTGGAGGGAGACTTCAATGATGAGAACGATGAAGATTGGACGAGAGAGCACTTTGAGAGATTCGAAGTGAAAGAACGCGAAGGGAAACACCCGATCTTGACAGGTGACACGCTACTGATGCTTAAGGAAGGTGTCGGAACTCTCGGAGAACTTACCTTCACCGATAACTCGAGCTGGATTAGGAGCAGAAAGTTCAGACTCGGTGTTAAAGTTGCACCTGGGTATTGTGATGGTGTTCATATCCGTGAAGCTAAAACAGAGCCTTTTGCTGTGAAAGATCATAGAGGAGAATGTAAGATTTAAACTTTGGATTGCATTCACTGAGCTTCTCGGTCTCAGTTTTCTGAAACTTTTTCATTCGCCATGGAAATGCTTTGCAGTGTATAAGAAACATTACCCGCCAGCTTTACATGACGAAGTCTGGAGATTGGATAGAATAGCGAAAGACGGAGCTCTGCACAAAAAGCTGTTGAAAGCAAATATTGCAACAGTGGAAGATTTCCTCCGACTCCTCGTGAAAGATCCACAGAGATTAAGAACTGTAAGCATTTTTCTTCGATTCTGCCGATTACTGATCCGTTAATTACTGTAAAAGACATGCCGATACAAACTTGGTCTCGGATCTTTTGGGGGTTGCAGATACTTGGGAGCGGAATGTCGAATAGAATGTGGGAGAATACAGTTGAGCACGCAAAGACGTGTGTATTGGGAGGCAAGCTTTACGTATATTATACAGACAATACACACAGCACGGGCATCGTTTTCAATCATATCTACGAATTCCGAGGCTTAATCTCCAACGGGCAGTTCCTATCTCTGGAATCTCTCAACCATGATCAAAAGGTGAGACCTTTTTCTGCAGAAAGTTTCCTCATTTACTTCAAAATCTGCAGTCATCATCTACAAAGATTAAAACTTTACCCCGGTTAAATAATTTCGATTGTATCGCTGTTTGTTTGCCAAATTTGAATACAGATATCTGCAGACATTTTGGTCAAGACGGCCTATGAGAACTGGCAGAAAGTGGTAGAATATGACGGTAACGTCCTGAACTACTTACCGACGACTAAGAAGGAAACGAAAAGCTTACCAGAGCCAACAATTGCTGCTGCCCGAGCTACTCAGAATCCGCAGCTTCATAACCATAACAGACAAACTCTGCAATCTCATCAGACCGAGAATAACTACACATCAGTCTTTCAGACAGTAGAGTATCCCTTTGTGCCACTAACCAGCAATCAATTACCCGAATTACCCTGCAACGTGCAGGACTATACGCCAATGGCGAATTCTGCAAGTTCAGGTTCATATAATGCAGGAGATTGGTGCAGGGCGAGATCCGGGCAAGGTTTTGAAGAAAATTTCGCTGAGGAAATCAGGCTGAGGAGCTCAGAGATGCTCGAGAGTGACGATATGCAGAGGCTGCTCAGGACATTTGGCATCGGTATGAACACAATTGGAACATCACCAGGTGGGTTTGGACATACAGATGAGTCTTGTTATGGGTATTCAGTCCCATGTGAAGGCCACCGGGTTGATAACACATATGGAAGAGAACGAGGTAGAGGCTCGGGAAAGGCGGTGGTTGGATGGCTGAAGCTGAAAGCTGCGTTGAGATGGGGAATCTTCATACGCAAGAAAGCTGCGGAGAGAAGGCCTCAGCTTGTGGAGATTGACTGAGGAAACTAAACAAAGGAACTGAGAGGTCGTTAATGGCGGATCAAGCAATGAAAGACTACATCTACATCCATATATATATATACACACAAGTACAATATGCAGAGGTCGTATTCTGAAGTCGTAGAGGGGAGGCATTTGCATTGTGACGTCTGTTAAGTTTGGTTTTGAGTTCATGTCTGATGATGATGACCACCATTCTCTGGTGGGATGACCACATTTTGGAAAGATTTTATTCATTTGTTGTTTAATTTTGACATATATAATCTAATAAATCATGAATTAATCAACTAACGAACCGTACAAGTACAGCTAAAAGTACGTCTTAATTTCGTGTAAAGATTGGTAGTTTCTTGTTTTATACGTTACAGTTTCCAAGGTATAAACAACGTTTCAGCTTCTCAGCTTCAGAGATGAGAGAAAATGGAGGTTAGGGTTTTGGAGGGCTTCTGCCACTTCTTCTGTGGCTCTGTGAATGAACAGGTCAAATGGCAGATTGAAGTTCTTTCTATGTTGCTTCTCCTACAAGTAATGATGAGTTTACAAAACTTCCCCAGAAGCCATAACACTACATTACATCTTTTATACAAAGAGATCACCATCCAGTTCAAAGCTAGCTGTCCTAAAAGCCCACAAGCATGATCCTCTGTCTGTGTTAACTCCAAAACGGGTATTCATGGCGGGAATCTAACAGTGGCTTGAAAGCAGCTATCTCTTCTTGAATCTTAGGCACTTATGGTGCTTGTTCTCAGTAATGCTTGGCTCATTTGTCAGTTCTTTGGGCTGTGGATTCGTGAGGGAGAGCTTCTCCATCGCGTTTATGAACTTCCGCAAGTGCTTGATGTATTCTGGATAGGTTTCTAGGTTACAATGGCCTCCGTTCTTCACCCACAATGGATCGTACTTCTCCTTCGCCAGCTCCCATAATCGTTTCCCATGTGACAAGTCAACAATCTCGTCCTTTGTTCCCTGCATGCCATCGCCATCATCATCATCATCATCATCATCATCATCATCATCTTCTCCTGTCAAAATCTCATGAAGGGTTGACGAAGAAGATGGAGGTTACTTACATGAATGACAAGAACTGGGCAGCTGACATGGCGGATCTTGTCAATGTTCTGCAAACGACATTGGAAAACTTCCTCGTCAGTAAAGTGTCAAAGACTTAACCGCAAAAGCTGGGATATGGAGTTTTCAGACATGAGAAGAGAGCTTCACTTCACTTTGAAAATGTCGAACCAGAGTGTCACTCTGACGTTGTAAAGGACTCTTATGCCGGAGAGAATGGCGCTGTGAAGAACGACCCCTCTCAGTCTCTTCAGCCTCGAAGCCAGATGCAACGTGGGACCGCTCCCTACAGATTGTCCGTACAGGATCAGCTCTTCCTGCTTGATGTTGTACTCGCTTCTCAAGCAACTGTACACGGCCTCGATGTCGTAATACGTGTTGCTTTCTGATGGCTACGCATCCATCGTCAAGAACGAACGAAAAAAATGAGAAAAGAGATCATTTCATTCATCAAATATCATCATCATCATCATCATATGATAAACGACATGATCATTAGGGTTCCAATCCCATTACCTTTCCTGTAGAAGCTCCATAACCAGAATAATCGTAGCTGCAACCAAAAGGAAGGAGATGATGAAGTTGCATTGAATCTGAATAGATATGTTAAATGGCAATCTTGAATGATTCTCGAAGAAACGATTCATCTCCTATATATTGCCTTTCGGTATATATATGTATGAACAGAAACCTCAGGAGATAAATATGTGAATATATATATATATATATACACCTCATGATATTGACGCGAAGATGAGCTCGGAGCTCGAGGAAGAGCTCGACCATCTGCCCTAAATCTGCAGCATTGCCATGGGAATATAGCAACGTGAATCGGGCAAACGGGTGTTTCCAGAACGTGGCGACAACCTTGTTCCCGGCTTTCGTGTCGACAATACGAACGTCCATGTTCTTGTCTGACGTCACTCCGGCGAAAACTGGTTTTCCGGCGTCGTCTTTCCCCACCTCGTACGTCGCCGGCTCCGGCGGAAAGAAGGCGAACTTCGCCGCCACGCTCGACGTCACGTTTCCCATTTTGAATGATTTTGCAGGAAGGGAATGGAAAAACAAAAAACAAAAAAAAGGTTTTTTTTTAATGGTGGGTTTCGGTTATTTTTTTTTCTTGGGAATGAAATGGGAGAGGAGGAAAATGGAAGGTGGTGGTGGAGAAGAAGATGGATCCGATCTTGGCGGATGAAGATGAGCTGTGTTGACGAATGGCCTTCCATAATATATTTATATATTTCTTTCTTATTATTTTCATGCTTATTTACCCTTTCTTTAGATTACATGGATGACGGACCCTCCCCAAAATAATTCATATGTTATATACCATAATGGTTATCATGAGTTCGGCTTTTTCGAATTCGGTTCAATTATATTCGGATTCAGTTATTTTGGTTATAAAAAACTATAACCATTCAATTTTATATAAAATTCGGTTCAGTTAGAATTTGATTTTTTTATTTTAAAAAAATCTTTTTTAAAAAAAGTTATCGATTTTTTCAGTTATTTTTTTAACCGATTCAATTTGATTTTGGAGTTTAGAGAAATTATAACTATTCGATTACAGTATATATTATTCGATTCGCATCAATTCTATTATTCCATTAATAACCAAAATCACCATCCTAGTTATCAGATGATCTTTTATATTGTTGAATGAGCTAAAGAATTATTTAATATATATGTATGTATATATATATATATATATATTATTTTGTTTTGAGATTGGAGTTCTAGGAATAAAAGAAGACAAAGAGCTATGATTTGGTCAAAGGCTGCAAAGGGATGGCTTTTAATGGAAGGGATGTCAGACTCAGACATTCCTCAAAAATAACTATGCTCTTCTCTAAATAAAATCTCAATTTTTTTTTGATGTCACACAAAAGTTTTCTTAATATCTTGATTTCTTTTATAAATTTTAACAAACACAAGATTCAACAAATGTATTTAAATTTGGAATCATGTACTCATACATAAACATAAATTCAAAAAAATTAATAAATCATATTTTTTGCCTTTGTTTTCAAATAAAAAAATATTTTGTGGGTGTTGTTAACCCCGAAATAGTTTATATGGCAATTTAATAATATTTTTTGCCTTTGTTTTCAAATAAAAAAGGTACGTAATTTGATACAACAGCATCATTCTTTTTTTTAAGCACGTGGACATCCGTTAGTATATAAATATTAAAATTAAATACCCCAATTTTTAATTTTACAAAAAACTACATATGAATCCAAATCATTCCAAATTCAATCACGAAATTAATAGTGGGGTAGAAGATTGCGATTAATTTGGTAATTTCGTAATAGAATTTAGAATAATTTGAATTTCTATGTAACTTTTTTGTACAATTAAAAATTAGTATAGTTTTTTGGCACATTTATTTTCCCTAAATTTAATAAAAAAATATTTTTTTAAAAAATTGTACGACCATCTCGCTAGAAAACAAAATTGTTTCTGTATGCAAAATTGCAAAACTGAGGAAAAAAAGGAAGCATTTCCAAGTTTGCAATCTCTGACATTAATTGTTTGTCTGCTTTTGGGCTTTTTGTCAGTCCGAACAATCCAGCTTTGACCACGTTTTCCTTTCCATGTTTGTTTTTAATCACATCAATGATTAGATTTTTTTAGTAACTTCATCAAATAAATCTGTCCTAAAACTTTTCTGAAATTAATCTAATTGAAACAGACACAAAATCACAGATATTGTGAAGTTATTATACTATTAACATTTTTATAAATATTAGAATTTACATATTATTAGTACATACAGACGTCATTTTATATATACATAGATAAGTGATGCATAATAATACACCACAATAGCTGGACCAAATATTATAAAAAAAAAAATAATACACCACAATATATGCGTTTTTCTTTCATGCATCCTTTAAGATCTCTTTTTGGTCCAAAGGAAAAGGGTTTTGAGTCAATAAAGACAAAAATAAACAAAAGAAAAAAATGCTTGGGAGTTTGAGCAAACAAATATATATATATATATATATATATATATAGATATATATGATAGACAACATGTAATATTTTTCAGAATCAATCTTATACATCATTGTGTTTTTTTCCTATTAGAAATCTGAACATATATGTGTGTATATATAATCACAGAGAAAATATGATGTATGAGATTTACAATATACAACACATGGCCATCATAAAATTTTGAATGTCTGCCATTTTTGGTGAATCTTATATAATGCCAGTGAACTTCAAGCCACAATAACTTACCAAATTTATTGAATATCATTTGCTATATATATATATATATATATATATATATATATATATCGGAGTAATCGATATCATGAATCAAGATAGAAACTAATTATCGGATCAAGAACCATGCATGTGATTTGGATTATATGCTATCTCTCTAAATTTCAGGTTCGAATTGAGGACAAAAAATACGCTTTACACTCGATTTCACGGTTTAAACTAACCAAATTTGGTTATATATATATCTACCACAGCTTTCACAACTTTCATTGTCATGAGTTTCGTTTTCACAACACTGCTAGATAGAATCCATCAACAATGAAACAAACGATGTAGAAATATGAGTGTATGGTCTCACCATATTCTTTTACAAGAAACCCTTGGTTTCTGATGTATCTATATGCCAGAAATCTGAAGAATGACTGTGTGATGTAAAGAGTACAGAGCTCCAAGCCGGCATCAATGGCGGAAAAAAACCAATGCCAAATGAGGAAAAAGAGACTTTCACTAATGATGCTTCATCAACCTGAATATGTTGGAAATTCTCGGAGATAGTTTTGGGAGGAACTTAAACAACTGAAAACAGACACAATCCATCAAAAACTTGTCAAGAAACCGAAAGAAAAAGAATGATGGTCGGGCTGAGGAATTATTGTTGGTTTAGTGCTCTATGATATACTGTTTTCCGAGCTTTATTTATAGATACATTTGATGTATTGACACTTTCTATGAGTTTATGGATGAATGTTTGATTCATTACGTATTGTGCATACTTGATATGTTATGAAATCTATGTATTGTTATGAACAATACTAAACTCCCTAGTCATGTATCATCATGGGAATAATGATATACTAAGACTAATATGATCTGTGATTGATGATCATATAGATGATCATAGGTATTGGATACGATCACAATCATAGGTATTCGTTGGAGAACGGAATACTGGATTGACCCGTATGAGATTGTCACATGGACTAGCGTCATGAATTGAATCTCATATGGCTGTTCTATGATTGGATCCTAAGACCTGAGATATCTACAAATCCAACATGAGGAGTTGCGTACTTTGAATACGTCAAACGTCCTGCGTAATAGGAGGACTATAAAGGCGTGTATCAGGTACGAAACGAATCATGTGTTGGATTGTAGATAGTCAAGACGAGATTTGTACCTCTCGTAAAAGAGAGAGATATCGATGGGCCCCTCGTGTGAGCGAGACTGTAGAAATGTGTGGCCGCACTATAGACGAACGTCGTCTATTTCAGACAGTCGAACTCAGTGAACGAGAAAGCAGCCGAATCAGATAAGGTGGCTCGTTCATGCCTTATGTTCGACATATGATATCACGATACAAAAGGATCATCAGACGGAATCATCACTGGCGTTGGTAAGATCACGAACAAACTCTATTTGAGATAGGTAGTCATAGTGTCTTGCTAGAGACTGCCTATGACTTGTATATCTAAAATAGAGATTTCGGGTGCCAAAAAGAATGCGGCGAAAAAGGCAATGGTTGCCTCTACGCCCAAGCCTAAGCCCGATAAGGGTGACTGTCATTACTGCGGAGTGTCTGGACATTGGAAGCATAATTGTCACCTTTACTTGGAGGATCTGAAGGACAAGAAGCTTGATGAAACTTCTGCCTCAGGTATTCATGTTATAGAAGATAACATCTGTACTACATCTTCGTGGGTATTGGATACCGGAAGTGCCTCACACATTTGTGAAAATGTGCAGGGACTAAGAAGAAGTAGGATGCTAGCTAAGGGAGAAGCGGATCTGCACGTCGGAAATGGATCAAGAGTTGCTGCATTGTGTGTTGGCGTTTATGATTTGCATCTTCCTTCTGGACTTGTTTTAGAATTAAGTAATTGTTACTATGTGCCTGTGATTAGCAGAAACATTATTTCTATTTCATGTCTGGATTTGGATGGTTTTCGATTTGTGATTGAGAACTCGAGTTTGATGATTTATCGAGACAACATTTACTATGGTAATGGTTATCTTGTGAATGGTTTATACGTCTTGAATGATCAGCCTTTGAACTCGATATCGTCCATCTATAACGTGAGTACTAAACGGTTTAAGCTGAACGATAAACCGGACCTTCCTCTGGCATTGTTGTCTAGGCCATATAAACGAGAAACACATTCAGAAGCTTCATTCTGAAGGTCTTATGGATTCATTTGACTTTGAGTCTCTTGAATCTTGCGAGTCTTGTTTGATGGGCAAGATGACGAAGCATCATTTCAAGGGGAAAGGACAGAGAGCGACAGAGTTATTGGACCTGATACATAGTGATGTATGCAGACCAATGAGCTGTCTAGCTAGAGGAGGTTATCTGTATTTCGTTACGTTCAATGATGATTTCAGCCGATACAGTTATGTCTATTTGATGAGACATAAGTCTGAAACACTTGAAATGTTCAAGGCTTTCAGAAACGAAGTACAAAACCAGCTTGACAAGACGATCAAGACACTTCGATCCGCTTGGAAAAGACGATCAAGACACTTCGATCCGATCGTGGTGGCGAGTATATGAGCCAAGAGTTCTCTGAATATCTGGTTGATTGTGGTATTGTATCACAATTAACTTCTCCTGGAATGCCATAGTGGAATGACATGTCTGAACGGAGGAACCGAACACTGTTAGACATGGTTCGGTCGATGATGAGTCAGACAGATCTTTCGAAGTCCTTTTGGGGCTATGCTTTAGAGACCGCTGCATATCTGCTGAACAAGAGTCCAACGAAGTCGGCTGAAACGATGCCATATGAGATATGGATGGGGAAGCATCTCGCGTTGTCGTTTGTCAGAATTTGGGGTTGCGACGCTTACGTGAAGCGTCAGATGACCGATAAGTTATCCTCCAAATCTGATAAGTGTTTATTTATAAGCTACCCTAAGGAAACTAAGGGTTACTACTTCTATATTCCGGCAGAGAACAAGGTGTTCATTGCC